AGAGATTTTAAAATGTATTTATTAGTTTTAGAGGTTTTGTTTGTTTAAAGAGTTTGTACTCATACATATAAAACTAGAGATAACTGAGTTCAACAGAGAAGGAAACCTATTTTGAGTCATGCAGGAAGAACTTAGACTCCCAAGAGCATCCCAACAGCCAGCCCAGCCTGCAGACCACAAGCGATCCCATCTTCCCGATGGCTTTTTAGGTGACCCCAGAGCAATGATGACAGTGATGATGACCATAATCTGGGCACAATTTTCAGACAGAGATAAATTGCTCCTGGCACTAAAGTGACTAAGCTGGAACTATGAGGGAGATTGTTGCTGAAGCTCGTTCCTTCATGGAATCTGGGGGAGGTTGGCTTATGCAGAAATCTATCTCTCAAAATAGCATGGAGAATATGTGTTTCTTGTAGCTGCGGTATCAAATACTCCACTTTTAATGGTGTAAATGCCAATTTATCACCCTACAGTTCTGGAGGTCAGAGGAATGAAATGTCACCACAGAGCCAAACTCAAGGTGCTGCCCAGCTATGCTCCCTTCAGACTTCTGGAGGGAGCCCATTTCTTTGCCTTTCCTGGTTTCTAGAGTGACTCCTTGGCTCAGGGTCCCCTCTTGCAGCTTCAAACCTTTCATTTCAGTCCATGGTTACATACCCTTATTCTGCTGCCAAATCTTCCTCTGTCTTCCTTGTATAAGGACACTCGTGACTATATTCAAAGTCCAACCACATTTAATCTCTCCCCCTCAAATTCCTTAACCATACCTGCAAAGCCCTTCTCTTGCTACATAAATAAGTATTCATATGATCTCCAGACTAGGACCGGAAGCTCTTGATTGGTTATTATTTAGCTGACCACAGGCTAAGAGCCTGAGATCCGAAGACAGTCTGCTTACGTCTGAGTTCCAGCTCTACCACTTTCTAGTTGCATGCCCTTAGACGAGTTTCTTTATCTGTACCACAGGCCTAAGAAAAGGTCTACCTTATGAGGTAGGTATGGAAATAGAGTTATGTGAAGATAATGATAGCATGCAGTTTAGAAAGTCAATGGAGGAGATGAAATGAGTTAATAAATCTACAGCTCTTGGAGCAATGGTTATTATTATTATTATTTCGACCACCAAACACTATTTCATGATAGTTATGATTCTGTTGCTGTATTAATGTGATTTTGTTATGATATTGTTGTTAAACCTTACACAAGGTTTGGCATGAGGTTAACACGACTTGGTAGCATCTCCTCTCACTACGTGACGTCACTGGACCCTGACGGGTGAGGGCAACCTGGTGCCGCTGCTCATGCTTTCTGCCTCTGAGCTCGCAGAGTCAGAGTCCTCAG